AGAAAAGAAAACACATTGCACTATAGCAGCTCACAGAGATCTTTGGGAATATCTAGAATCCTATTGCAAGCTTGGAACCGATTCCTCAATGGTCCATTCAGAGAACATTTTCTTGGTACTATAAGCAAGATCACCAGGTCTGAAGCCAGCTGGGCCTTGTCAGATGTACCAGCAGAGAGAGTGTTTACAAACCGGATCAAAACTCCAAAGAGCCATCTAGTTCCCAGGGAGGCTACAAGTAGTTCCCTAGGCATCCAGCTACTCACGGGACAGCATCCAGGGATCAACGGTCAGATGTTGCATAACACAGCACATGATCTACCAGCAGCACACACATACACAATCATCCTTTGGCAGGAGGCCTGGGCTTTCATAACCGCATTCTTGAATTTGCTTGTGAACCTTTTTTTTTTTTTTTGAACAACCACAACAAATGGATGTCCATGCCTGGCGATCTTATTTTGCTATGGAAAAGTGAATTGGCCAGTTGAAAGTGCCCAGACCATGGCAAATGGGGGTATCTGACCCTGAACATCACAAAACCAGATAAAGACAAAGGAATTTGGAAACTGTCAAAGAACACATCTATAGAACTAAGGAGATAGTCTCAATATTTAGCATTTCAGCAATATTTAACATGCTCGAAAGAAACAATGTAAGCTACTCATTAGAACCAGTATAATAAGCAAATGAATGCAAGGATAAATAAATAAATAACTGTTTGCAGAGCTAACCTGAGGGCAACAGGAAACTTAATGCCAGAGCCACAATCGGACTCAGGTCCAAACAGCCCTAGTCCTGTCTCCACCCCGAATTCACACCCTGCTCTCCTTTAATGAGAAAGAATGGCAGAGAGAGGCCAGAACTGAGCCAGGGCCCACAGGACGTGTGCATACTCGCCAGGCTCTTCACAAAAGCGTGGCATTTCTACCACAGTGCAGGCTGGAAGGGGAGCGAAGCAGAGGCAGAGCGCACAGAGCTAGGCGGAAGCACACCTTGGGACCCGGAAGGTTAGGACAGGGTGGCTATCAAGGCTGAAACGATCCTGAAGCAGCCTCCCGGGAACCCAGCCCCGAGGGCATGGACACCCGCTTCTGAGAGTGTGGGACGGGGGACCAGAGCACATGCATTCACAGCGTTCCCCCAACATCATGATCCCACGAGTCATCCAAGGAGTAAGCATTGTTTCGATTGACGGGTCAGTGAGGTGAAAAGACCTGTAGATACAGGCCACGCTGGAAAGACAAGACAAAAGGATTTACAAAAGCTGTAAGAGAAGGGAGACGTTTGGCATGAACTGAGACAGCCCATGCCTCTGGGAACAGATTCGGCCAACTTGGAAAGGGCAGGGATAGGCTCTCTGTCTAGCTAAGATCGAAAAGCCTGGAAAATAAAGCAGGAGGTGGTGTTCTGGGGAAGATCATAGGGATGTTTTCTCTCTTGCAAACATCAAAAAGCCTCGTAGCTTCAGAAGTGTTAGCAAAGCCTCACCTAAGAAATCACTGGCCTGTCATTACACAACCTGACTTCATTTTGAGAAAGCAACAGATAGAGAAAAGGGCGGTTTATGGTGGTCAGTAAGAGCAGCGGGAGGGGTGGTGGCCATGTTGTAAATCATAAAAGACCTTGACCAATAGCAGGTCAGAGAGAGAAGGCTGGGACGGGTTCTTTCAAGAGCTTCTTAACCTCCATGCCTTCCCTCTCATAGGTCTATGTTGCCAGGAACACTCACCCAGATCTGTCCATTAATTGACAGCCCCAAACAAGGCCTTCATTATAAAGCCTCATAATGGGGTCTGCTAAGTTGGCCCCGAGGTCCTGGTGAGCAGTGCTAGCCCTGCCTTGTCCAATTCTTCACTGTTCTTGGCTCACTTTTTGTCTGATCCCTGACTCCTGGGGACGTCGTTTTCTGTAACCATGAATCTACTTGCTGCTTTAGGACTCAGTGTGATTAATGGTGTTAGGAACACTGCCCCTTGGCACTGTTGAGGCAAAAAACATAAACAAATGAAAAACCCACAACTCTCACTTTGAAGGGAATAAAAGATTTTATTCTGGAGCCAAATAGAAGTGATCATGGCCCAGGATTCAGGTTTCCCCAGATACCACGCTCCACAGTGGAAGTGGTTTCTTGAGAGATTTCATTAGTTACAGAACAAAGTCATAAATCAAGGGATTCGGGGGATACATGCGTGGGAGCCACAAGTAGGTGGTTCACAGCAAGTAGGAAAACTTCTTGGTTGCAGATGCCATCTGATGAAACTCTTAGCGTTTGGACTGTGGAAAACAGTGGCTTCCTTAGAATACATCTGAAAGATTTTGGTAGTCACAAGGGTGTTAAGTCTCATATAGAGGTGGACACTGAAAGGCTTTCCAAAGGATTCAGAGTGGCCTAAGATACTTGGGCTTTGGCCTGCTGTTAGGTCTCAAAACCTGAACAAATGGCTGGGGTGCCTACTTCACATATCAAAGCAGACCTGGCTGCCAGATTCTCCCAGCACCCCTCAGTCCCTACCTGTTACAGGGTCCTCCTGGCTAGCATGCCCCTCCTGCTATCCTAAAGTTCTCTAGCCTAGTTATTAGGCTGGGCTTCCCTCCCCCAAAGCTGCCCTTCCCTGTATAATCCAACCATTTTGGTTACCTGGCACTTTCATCTACCCTTTACCTTCCTGGCTTCTTGGTCTGCCCCTCCCCTCCCCCTCTCCTCACTTGGCTCAGGGTCTTGTGCACTCTGGACTCTCCCAGATGTCTCTGCCTCTGGCTATACTTTCCCTTTTATCTACAATAAACCTTCTCCTCCACCATACCTAGGAGCAGTCATGCCCTTTCCTTTTTATTTCTTTTTTTTTTTCATTCACCTGAACCTCCTATATGAAATCTGCATCTCTCCACTTCTAGCCAAGCTAATGCACCTCTTAAGCCTGCAGTCTCTCTCTCTCTCTCTCTCTCTCTCTC